TTTAGTGCCAAATCACAACAACATGTCCCTCAAGGTGCTATATAGACTCTACAATCATACAGAGAGAACACAGATACCCCAACAATCATACAACCTCATATGAGCAAGCACTTTGGCGACAGTGGGAAGGAAAACTCTTTTAAAAAGAGGAGGGGGCCATCTGCTGAAATTAGTACAATACAAAACACACTGTGGAAGAGAGCCAGAGATTAATAACAGCTAATGATGAAATGCAGAGTGGGGTATAAACATATAGTGAATGAAAAAGGTGACTGAAGAAGAAGCAGAAACCCCGAGCAGCCCAGACAGATTATATGATAACTATAGGGGAGAATTCTCTCTTATTATATGCTTTGTGTAGCCCAGGCAAAGAAAACAAAACAGAGGAAAACCAAGAGTTTGGGAAAAGGAAAAGCCAGCGTACTTACCTACTAGAAGTCCAGAGCCAAGTGACTGAGTGAAGGAAAGGAGTAATGTAAGTAAGACGAGTATTAGTTGGATGAACAAAACACAACTTGTAGAGCAGAGCTGTGCAGAGATGTTTGAAGGGGTGGGTACTCGAAATTAAAAAGGGGAACCAGGCTGAATAGCAACAACCCACATTTATCAATAATCAAATTTGGAATCAAACGATATCACTGTCATCAGGTGGGGATAACGCAAAGCAAACGTAGCTCATTTTTAACCTGATGGGTACAATGTTGCTGTTGAGGGGCTGCTGCTGCTCCTGCTGCTGATGGTGCTGCAGGGCAGGGCTGTGTTGATCTTTCTATAGCAGAGAAAAATCCATAGGAGAGATGTTAGCGGAGTTAAAATTAAAGTGTTATGAGATAATAATAAAATGGAAAGATTGGTGAAGGGCTTGGGAAGATAAGGCAACACATAAAAAAACTGTGGGAAATAAACCAGGCTCTGCCTGTGACTCACTCTTTGCCTGTCTTCCTCCTTCACTCTGCACCTGCTGTCCATCTGGGAAAAATCTATTATTTAATTATCCACAACTCGTGTGCCTAATGCATTATAAAGTAATGATAGAAAAATGTTATAGAACCAGAACATTGCAATTGTCTTTATTATTGTTTTTATACTTGAACACTTCTGCAATGCAATGTTGAGACGATATGGCCATTATGGACTCTATGGTGCGCCTCTTCATGTTACATATGTGTACCCAATTTCATACACGTATGTAGGTCATACCCAGACCTGGGGCTCAAGTTTTTCATTCTTCTAGGTGGCAGTACTGAGCCATTTACCCTGCCCATATCTGAAGCCATTAAAATACGTTATTTTTCACCAGACCTGATGCGTGTTTAAAATTTCAGGAGTTTTTGAGCATGTTAAAGCCCTCGTTTTGTCAGATTATT